TTTTGTAACCTACAGCCCCTTTCTCATAGACGATACGTCGCAATCCACACACGACTCTATCGCTAATTCCACGGAGAGTGCTCAGAGGGACTACACTCTTTAGTTCCACCAGTCCTAAATACGGCTAAGACTCTACTTATGGCTACTCACATTTTTCATTCGTATTCCCATTTAGCTTTTTCCCCCGAACAGCAGCCTTATGGAATCGACTCCCAAGTGGTTGCTTCCCTGATCACTTCAATCTTAACCTGAGCACGTCTAGGATTAACGGTTATTTTCCACATATCCGCATTAGCTGTACCTTATAATCTGTAACTCTATACCTCACGAGCCATGTAGAAGGTTAACATTAGTGTTAAAAACAGTTCTGAACAGCTCTGTAATATCTAATATCCTAATGCTAGACAATCTTTTCCCAGATGAAGAAGAGGCTTGAAAAGAGAAAGAGAGAGAGAGAGTGAGAGAGAGGGGGAGAAAGGGGGAGAGAGACGGTTCTAGCTATAAATGTTGGAACATATGGATAGAATATATAAATAAGTTCTGAAATGGTTACGGAAAGCAGGAACTACAAGGAAAGTTATGCTAGTAGTCAGAATAGGACAGCTGAAATATCTGGAACATATAATGAGGAAAGAAGGTTTGGAGAAATTAACACTTGCGGAACAGTGAGAGCAAGAATTCGTTCTCTGTCTCAGGGGACAGAAATGGACAAACAACGCAAACGTGAATAAGACTGATGGTCATTAAGCGATATGAAATAATTCCAGCGTGGAAAGAGGAATAATGTCCTACATAAATTGAATATAGTGTTCAGTTGAAAATTGCAGAAAGAGTACGACGACAAACATCTGCAGAAGTCCTGAGAATACAGCGGCCGAAATGTTGTGAATGTAACAACAAAGTGGGAAACGACAAATAAGGTACGGAGATAATTAATTAGAGATTGATAACTAAGGATATGTTGTGCGGGTGGTGTAATAGATAGTGGATCAGCATGAGAAATTATAGAATAGAGTTCGAGTTCCTGTCGGATACATTATATTCACTTACGCGCAAATACCTTTGAGTAAGTTAATGAATTTATCCCCGATCTCCAGCCAGAGCTTAAATAGTCGGACTTGTATCTGAGAAAAATAATTGTCATTTTCAGAAAGAAAAAAATTGTTAGTGCTATATTCACTCGTTAAAAGTTAATTAATTTTATAATACAATTAATCTTATAATCCAAAAGGCGTACGACCACATCACGTACGATCACCGAAGTTAAGCAACGTCGAGCCTGGTTAGTACCTAGATGGGTGTTGCAGGCTTGATGGGCGGGTGGTTTAATTGTTAATCGGAGAAGCGAGTTCCAATTCCGTTAGGTTCGTTATATTCACTCACGGGCAAATACTAATCCACCTCTTCTCCCCCAGCTATGGGTTAATTAGTAAGACTTGTATCAATATTATCCCTTCCAAAAAATCATTGCAGTCTAGCTTTGAATGATCTGCAAAGGGTTGATAAGCCGTAGAAAAAGATAAATCAATAAAAAAAATGTGTCAGCGTTAAATAACCCCTAAAGAGTTGATAAGCCGTAAAATAAACCAATCAATTCTCATAGAGAGTATTATTCGTCTGTAGTCGTTTATATTTAAGGTTTTGGATTGAATGAAGTCAAAGAAAGATGGGTGAATATTCTGTTTTGAGATTTTGTTTATATCTTGGAATTACTTTAGATTTTTTTAAGACTATAAGAATATCTTTTGCTATGTATTTCTATGATGATTACTCAGAAAATAAGTCTATTGGCATTATAGTGAAGTTGGATAAAATGCATGTATTGATTGATTATTGGTAAATGAACATTTTTCAAATATCAATTGTACTAAAATCTTCCAGACTAGGCAGAGACTGAACACTTTTTCTCCTAAAACGATAGACAAAAGGTCGAGAAGTTTGAAAGTAATCAAAGTTCGTCCAGATTCGTCTGCATTTCGTATTAATAGATGCATTTTAATAATTGATTTTCTATGGCGAATTCATTCGATTCTCTTTTAAAGAAAAACGTAAGAATTTAATAGAACGAATTCAGAGGAAAGAACAACTTCAGACAAAATTCATATTGATCCCACTGAGCAAGAAACATGTTATCATGAGATAAAGTTGAGCCGCCATTTTATTTTATTTTATTTTATTTTTTTAATGGGCCAACAATTTTTCCACTGTCATCCAAAAAGATATAAAGACGGGATGTGGCAAATCATCTCTGTGTCCTTGTGGGTGAAAAAAATATTTTCCACCCAGTAATTTCTCTCTTAAGGACGAGATGTCGCAAGTTTCTATCGCTGCTTCCATGGAAAGTGTATGGACGAAGTACTTTCCTTGCTTTCGCCAGGTCCAACCTTTACGGCTTGGACCCGCCATGATACTTACATTTTAGCAAACCACCAACATTATTTCCGTATTCCATCAGCGAGAAGTAACTTCCACTCGAACAGCTTCTTCCCGCGAACTACTGCCCTGTATCACAGACTACTTCTAGGACGTTTCGCCAAACACTTCAAACTTAATCCTGTTTCAGTCTACACTTAGCCGTTATCTTTACGTCCTATCGATATGAACTACCACTTACTGTAACCCTCTGCTTCAAGTGGACCCAGTGCCTTGTACATTGTAAACCTTACTGAATGTAATTAAAAGCAAAAGAAGAGGCAGACAAATGGAAAAAAAATAGGCTGACACTTTTCCCACTTCACTAGATCATTCACAGAGACCAATCACTGGCACGCAACCAAAACATGAACTCAACTGGTCAGGTGATCAGCTGCGGACATACCTTGCGACCACGGCCGGTCATGAGACTGAGGACGGCGATGATAAAACACTTTAATTCTTTCATTTATGAGGATAAGGATTTTAGTTACTCTTCCCGTTAAAAAAAATCCCCATTATCAAATCATGACTGCTTTCAACTTTTCTTTTATGTGACGTGTAATTTCAGGGCGTTGGTAATGATGACTCTCCACAAATACATGTCTTTTGTTTTTCTAACTCATTTTCATAGCAATTATTCTGATGAAGTTTACTCTTTATTACGTTGGCTTAATGAATTTAAGCTCATTACAAGATTATCAGTTAGATTTAACCATGTTATCTTTGAAATGTGCCAATAATTCGAACAATTTCTTCTCCCAAAGTTTGCATCTAGGGAACTCTCTTCTAGTTTTTAGCTTTCCTATTAACTGCAATCTTTCAATATTTAAAAATGACGTCAAGAGTCATCTTCTGTCTCCTTGAATACTTTTCTTCTGGTCCTTTCTCCTCAGAGACAGTATTTCAACTTATTCACTCTATTTTCCTTTCTCCGGGATAACACCGTTTGCGTCTAAGTGACTTTATCAACTTTAGTGGGGAAAATGATTATTTGAAAATATCCATAATACTTTATCAAGGCTTGAATTCAATATGGCCTCCAAATTCTTGTTCCTTATTTTTGATCAAAAGGTTTGCAACTTTTTTTGTCGTTAAGTGCTTTATTTTTTGTTGTTGTTTTTGTTCTTCGTCTTCTTCTAATTATTATTATTACAACTATTATTATTATTATTATTATTATTATTATTATTATTATTGTTGTTGTTGTTGTTGTTGTTGTTGTTGATGTTGCTATTCTTTGTCTTGTTCTTTTTCGTCGTCTTGCTTTTCTTGTTGTTGCATATTTTTGTTGTTGTTGTTGGGCCTCTTTTTCTAGTTTTTCGTCGTGTTCTTGTTATTGTTGTTTTTGTTGCCTTTTTGTTTCTTGTTCTTATTCGTCTACATGTTAGTATCCTTCGTGTTTTTGTTATTGTCGTTGTTGCTTTTCTTCGCCTAGATCTTCTTCGTGTTCTTGTTGGTCTTCATCGTGTTTTCATTATTGTTGTTGATGTTGTTGGCCATCTTCGTCTTGTTCTTGTTCTTCTTCTTCTTGCGCCCCTTCATGTTGTTATTGTTGGTTTTCTTTGTCATCTTCTCCTTCGTGTGTTTCTTGATCTCCTTTGTGTTCTTTGTATTGTTGTTCTTCTTAACAACAGTTTACTACTATATATTGTTGCTCTAAGTAAATGTTGACATTCTATTATCCCTATTTGTTCTCGTTCTGCCGACCATTCACAAACTTCTTAGATAGGTTACTCCAATCACTCCCTTCGGTTTACTATACCAACAGAATAAGGGGGAAATTCGAGAATGAGTTATTAACAGTGAACTCAAAGTGCGCTCAAATTTCATTTTGCATTATTATTTCATGATTAAAATGATGGTACATATAACAGAATAAGCTTTCATTCAAATATTTTATATTTCTGCCTTTCACTTCTCTATTATATGTTTTGAAAAAAAATATATTTAACTGTTTTTTAAGACATTTTTTATGTTTATACGTTCAATTTATAGATACAAATATTTAGGTAAATGCTATGTTTTATAATAAACAGTATTAACATTTACCGGACTGAATGTTCAAGAAATTTTCATTTTTTTCCTCCAGCTTTTCCTCAAGCAGATTCTTATAGCTAGTTTTAATGACATTTCCTTTGAATTCAATTTTCTACACATATAGTTCCCTTTGTTAATAATATGCATTCAATATCGTCTGTTTTAAATTTCATGTTTTCTGTTACTTATATTTATCAGGACGTCATAAAATCCCACAATACATTGCATAAGAATGTAAATATTTCTTTTCAAGCGGATTTTACTTGAAAAGTTAATAAAGGATTAAATGCTAACTACGCTTTTCTATCCATTTGCTGCTCTGCAAATAGGCTTTGCTTAATGTTGACAAATTATAGTAATACGCTATTATAAAATAAGGGAGCTGTCAAATAACTTCTGATTGTCAAATTGGAATGAAATAAAGATGGTTAAAATTATCTGTTCCAAAAGGAATATATATATATATATATATATATATATATATATATATATATATATATATATATATATATATATAATAATAATAAACAGGAAAAAGGAAGTTGACGTTAAGGCAGCCATATTAAACAATTAATATGAGTCAAAAGAGGATAGAGACGGAAGAAGAGAAACGCAAAATCATTAAAGAAAGTGTGAGATAAAAAAAAGTATAGAAGGAACCTAACTAGGCAGCGTAGGAAAGAAAGAAAGAAAGAAAGAAAGAAAGAAAGAAAGAAAGAAAGAAAGAAAGAAAACAACAAAAAACTAAAAGAAAACGGAGAGGGATGCAGAGCAAGCATAATGATGAAAGAGAAATAAAACAAAGACGTAAAAGAGAGAAGAAAACAATCAAAAGGGGGATAAAGAGGAGGCAGAGAAAAACAGAAAGATAGATGATGGCTGAGAAATATGAGGAAAAAGAAAGAGAGAAAGCAGAGGCAGATTATAGAAAGATGGAGATGGAAAAGAAAAACGTTACTGGATAGAAAAGAAAGTATGAGACGAGGAAATGGTAGAAGGAGAACATGGCTGACAAATATGGAGAAAAGAAAGGAAAAAAAATGATTAAAGGGAGAAAGATAAAGAAGAGAAATGATACGAAAACAACCAGAAGGAAAAGAATGGAGAAGAAGAGAAAAAAAGGTGAAAGGAGAATAAGGCTTACAAATATGAAGAAAAGAATGAAAGAAAAAAAAGATTAACAAAAAGAAGAAAAGAGAGAGAGAGAGAGAGAGAGAGAGAAATGAAATAAGAAAACAACCAGAAAAGAAAAAAAAAGAACAGAACAGAAAAGTGCAAAAAGAGAACAAGACTGAATATATATATATATATATATATATATATATATATATATATATATATATATATATATATAAAGAACTAATTAGAGAGAGAAGACAAAAAGAAGGAAAACAGATAAAATGCAGTCAGAAGAAAATAAGAAAGGAAGAGAAAAGAGAAAGGTGAAGACCGAACAAAAGTAAAAAGTATAGGAAACATTTAAAGAGAAGACAAAAATTAAAGAAAGGAAAATGAGGAGGGAAAAAATAAGGATGCAATTAGAAAGAAGAGAAAGAAAAGGAAGAGACGTATTAGAAAAGAAAATAAACGAGAAGAATAGAAAGGAAAGATGATTGTTGGAAATGAAAAAGTGCGGGCGTAAATAGAAGACAAATATTTACAAATGACAACAATGTGAGAGACTGTAAAAATAAAATTTAAAAAGAATATAATATAAAATGCAAAATTGTAAATATGATTATAAAACACGACATTGCAGAATACACAATTTTACAAAAATTAGTAAACAGAAATAAAAATTTTAATGTGTATATTGAATAAAAACTCAACAATAAATACAGCGGGACGTGTTGCAGGATGGATGGCAAAAAGAACCAGAAAAGTGGTACCAGCAGTATCTATCGTAAGTAGCCTAAGAATGAGCAAGTGACGTTCATGTGGTATACGGCAATCTTGACTGACAAGCGCTTGGAAGTTAATCGTCCTGACAAGGGGAGTTATGAACGGTCACTTATAGACTTTGCAGTACTGTGGTATAAGAACATTCTGAAGACTGTGAAGAAGAATATACAGAGGTACCTAGACCTGGCACGACAAAGTCGAGACACATTACAAGAAGCACCACAAGTTTCGTTTTTGTTTTTGTGGGGCGGTTGGGGGCGAACTCGGGACTATTACCATTCTGTATCTCAAGACACTACTTTTTTTTTAGTTTTACGCTGTACGAGGCCTCGGAGTCACTGGAGGTAGCGTGTTACAGAATAAGAAGAACAGTTTCTGCGAATATGTGGGGAGGATGACGCTTAATCCGAGACTTGAATAGATTAAGATTGTAGCTGTCACGAAAGCATAAACATGGAGGTCGATTCCTTAGTGAAGCGGTTTTCGGAAGATGCTGCTCGTGGAGAACATACATCTCACAACCGGAATTCAAAGGGAATAAGGGTGGTGCGTTTTAATGTGCGTAGTATGGCCGGTCCTAGCCGTGAACCTTAGAATCGGTGGAACTAAGGAATGTAGTTCTTTAGAGCATTTTCTATGGAAGTAGTAATAGAGTCAGTGAGAAGCTTGTTTTTGGGAGAGAGGTTGCAGGTTAAAAAAATAGTTTATCACCCACAAGGACGCGGAGACGCTTTTTTTACTCTATCGAGACTATGCAGCAGTACTGTGATAGCAGCACCCCATTTTAGACCTGATTCGTCTCTTGTAAAGGTTAGCACGGGGAGTCAGGTACTTTCTGGTGCGGTACGTGGAACCGATCCTTTTTCCTGCCTCATTAGAGATGGAAACTATGTACGAGTTTCACTTGATGTCTGGGTTGAGTTTAAACCCCAATGGTCGCAGAGGGGGGGGGCTCCCTGAGAGGACATCCAATCATCGTGATTGATGATACTCTTATGTCATCATTAGTATATATATATATATCAGCAAACGATCTTATTATACTCATAGGCAGATCAGTTATGTAAAGTAAAAAGAGAGTTCGTCCTGGAAGAAATCCCAAGGGGAAGCCTGCATTGATTGCTTGGGCCTCAGAGGACTGAATGTTAAAAAAATACCTTCAGCGACTTACCCGTAATAAAAACTTCATTACTAAAAAGGTTCTGTCAGTAACTCCGTAGTTACAGTGCTTGAGCAACAATCCTTTTTGCCACACTTTATCAAAGGCCTTTGAAGTATCTAATGCTATGTTCTTTGAAATGACTCTATCGAGACTGTACAGCACGTATTCAACTGTGATAGCAGCAGCCCATTTTAGACCTGATTTGTCTCTTGTAAAATGAAGTGGAAAGTGTCATGATGCCATTTCTAACCTTAGATCCCTGGGCGGGACCCGGAAAGAAATGTGTAAACGCCAGAAATCAAAGAAAACAATAATAATAATAATAATCAATGGATAATAATAAAATAGCTTTTAACTCTGCTTTACGTAATCACTGATGGTTCCGTAGTGCAGGGTCAAAAGCTGAAAACGAAAATTTTATTCTTGCTTCACAGGACCAATGCTTGTGAACTAGAAATTACCAACCACACACACTGAAAAATTGTTGATTCTGTAATAAATATCCAGAAACAATTAACCATCTTGTGTCAGGTTGCACAGTGTTAGCATCCAAGGAGTAAAAACTCAGCATGATAGAGTGGGCCAACTAATACGCTGGAAAATGTGAAACTTTTACGGGAAGAAAGCAGCGAGAAATTGGTATGAACACTACCCTGACCCGGTGTTATAGTGGAACACACCTATTCTATTGTTAATAGACTCTCCCACCTATAATAAGTAGGAGTAGTATCAGTCGCTCAGTGCGTTTGTCAGTCAGTCGATGTCGGACGACCGTGAGTCGGATACTAAAGTATCAGCAACCACCACTAGATTACTCTGCGTCATTACCTATTATATCAAGTTCCTAACTTTTTGTACGTCGAACCTATTTTAGGACCGACTTAGTACAAATACAAGCCTCCACTGTGAAAATCACTCCATAACACCCGGTTACAGAGATTTGATATGTAACAATTTGACGGGACTTTACAATGCACACAGACAGAACAATCAAAGCTAATCGCCTAGGCATTATGTGCTTTCTTAATCCCTGCATGTTTTAATGTATCATTGATCTTCAAAAAAATATGAAAATATAAGGATCTTGAAGTAGAAATCTCTTGGAACTTGAGGACATCAATGATTCCACTTGTAGTTGGAGCCCTCGGATTGATTGGAAAAGGTTCCGATAGACTCATTGAAGGTCTCCCTGGTAGTCCAAACCTTATAGAAATACAAAAGAATTGTACTCACAAGTAAAACTCACACATGACAAAGAGCTTTATCTCTGTAAAATATATGTTATCTTAATTTTTTTTTAAAATGGTAAGTGGAAAATGTCATGAAGCCATTTCTGATCTTAATCTCTGGTTGGACCTGGAAAGAAGTGTATATGCAACAGAGATCCAAATAAATAAATAAATAAATAAATAATAATAATAATAATGAACTAGGTATGGCGCGCATATCTTTTGACCTTAATTGATTGTAGGTATTAACATGTCTTGGCTTGTTAAAATTTAAATGTATTACAATAAATAACCGTTCAATACCAGAGATTTGACTTTTGATTCCTTGGTCCTAAAATATTCCGCATGTCTCCTAGACGTGACGCATTTTGTATCTCTGTGGGGTGAGTTTCAAGGCCTGGTGTCAAGACAGCCAACTTTAGTTAGGTTTAAAGAATGAGGTATCCAAATTTTCGTTGGGCGTCAAATCTAGATCCTTTGAAGCGCTAATCTCGACACAACCTGAGCCGAGTGAGTTATCCAACATAAATGAATATCTAACTGAGCTACTCCTGCGCGTTTATTCTTTTATCAAAATCTGGCGATATCTCTTTTGCACATTTGGCTTTGAGGCATGTACCTGATATACACTCATAAGAATAGATGTCATTATGTGTATAATGAGATTTGTAAGCAGCGCCAATTCGTTGGGATGTATGCTATCCTGTTTTTTGTGCATAATGTACTTTCAGAACGTTGAAGATCAGGGCTCTCTACAACTTCCTGTCTTTTGTTATTCTAAATAACATTCGACTTTTTTATTACCTCTCTTTGTCTGTGTTTGATCATACATTCACAAAAACTCTCTGCATCTCTTGTATTTAAAAAAAGTTGTGTCAGTGTTTACTTTTCCGGTTTTTTTTCGTCAATTTTGTTAAAAGATCTTTCAGGTATCTTAATAGCAAAACAGTTTCATTCCAAAAAATTAACTGAGAACTTAAAAAAAGAAGAAAAGAAGACTGTGTAGCGATATCAGTGTCATCCGGTATTTTTTAATGAAAAAAAAACATTTGAAAGATGTTACAGAAATTGTTTCGACAGTTATTGTTTAGACGATTATCAGCAATAACAAGTGGGCCTCATAAAATCCATGGCAATCGATCCTGACAAAGAGTATCACTGAGTGAAAATAGATCCTGAAGACATGATGAATGATATTTTTACGTGAAAGATGACAGGACAAAAAACGTTTGTCCTCTGCAAGACAGTGGCCACTAGCAGTAGAAATCAGAGGACCGCTTGCCGCGACACGAAAAGTAAGATGCACGCTGATTAAGTTGTTCAGCTCGCCTCTACCCAGCTCGGCTACAGTTGAAGGTTACAACCAGAATAATATTTATTTTCTGCTAAAATTTAGTCTCATAGTTTTATTATGGATAACTATTTGCCCAAAAAGTAATTTTTAAGCTACATGCTTACAATGGTGAATTACCAGAGGGAGACGAGATATTAGAAAAAAAAGGAACAATTAAATTGAAAGAGAAGAAAAAAGAAATTAATGATAATAATAAAAAAAGAAGATGTGAGCAGAAGAAAAACAAGAAGATGAAACGCAAGGTCAAAGAAAAGTAGGAATTTTGAAAAGAAAAAACGTTACGGAAGAATAAATTGAAAGAAAGAAAGAATAATAGAAAGGTTTCATGGCAGACATTAAATTGAGAATTCAAAGAGGAAAAAATGGCAGAACAGCTAAGAAAACTTGGAATTAAAATAAACCAAAAAAATAAAATAAAATAAAAAAATAGATAAAATGAAAGCCATAAAAGAAAAAGAAGAAATATATTCAGAGAAATAAATAAAGAATGATAGAGAAGTGTCATGATAAAAATTAAGTTGGGAATTCAAAGAGGAAAAAATGGAAGTCTGTGAAGCGAAAAACAAGAAATTGGTAAAAAAAAAAAAATTAAAAAAAGACCTTATGGAAATTTAAACTAAAAGAAGATTAATAGAAAGAAAAACATTTTATGACATAAAATAGGTTGCAAACTCAAAAAGGAAGAAAGCATAAATATACTGAAAGAGGAGAAAGGGAGGTAGAAAGAATAAAAAAAAAGTTTTATGGTAAAAATTAAGCTGAGAAGTTAAAGAGAAAGAAAATGACAAAGAAAAACCAATAATTAAAATAAGCCCAAAAATAAATAAACAAAAATGAAAAAAAAAGCAAAAAAAAATATAAAAGAAAGGAAAATTATATTCTCAACAACGGATTGCAATTAATTATTTTCTACCTCTCAAACGAGAACCGTATTTACTAATGAATTAACAAAGAGAAAAATTAAGAATTAAAAGTAAACAGTGTTTCAGTGTTTCGGTGGCTCTTAGCTGAAAATGTCCAGCAATGGAAAATGTTTAAAAAGGAGAAATAAATTATGCATAAGCTTTTGCTCTTCTCATTGTTACCTTCCATCTTTCTTGCCTAGAATTCATTATTTCTACCGAGCCCACAAAACACAATGGAAGCGCGACGAATTGACCTAAATTTCTGATCTCGTTTTAGCAGCTAATCGGAACGCTCGCTCCAGATCACATGACTGATTCTGTTTGCCAACTGGTCAAAACTTTTTTTTTGTTTTCTTCATTTATTTTGCTATCAGCTTTCGTTAATATTTTCTATTTTAGGGTCACTGTCAGTAAAATGTATCGAGCGCTTTCAATGGTGATAACGAATAACCAATGGAAATAAAATCCTTATTTTATTTGGGCTAAAATTAGCCACGATTTTTACCTTTGAATACAGGTGTTTCTTCGTTAAAGCAATATACGTCTGCTGTAAAATAATACAAACGAAATTATCGTAATTAAAATATGTAGATCAATTTAAAGTTTTTGCTTGTGGAGTTCTCCCTACGTCACTCCTTGGACACGTGGTTCAATAGTAACTACAACAGTATATTAGTCGAGGGTTCAAACCCTAAAGAAGGATTAAATATATATGACATAGAAGCAAAACAACTAGAACAATATTCTAGTATTCTGTGTCGCTTCAGGATGTTAGTGATCATGATTCTCCACATTTACCCGTCCTTTCTAACTCTTAATATAGTGTCTTTTTGTTATTTCTCCTAAACATTATTCAGTCATTCATTTATTCTTTTCTTCAATATATGTGAGTATCAAATTCTCTAAGCCCTCTTTCCTCGTTATATATCCCAGAAATGTCAACTGTCTCTTTCTGATTTAAAGTATGTAACCTTTTTTCCCATTTTCTCTAAATTATGGTCGTTGCTGTATTTACCGATCCACCCACGAGGATTGAATGTGGCACAAGGCCGGTTTAATGTGGGTATCTCCGAGCCCGTAGGCTCGGCCAAAAATATAGCCTTTGAACCTGCCTAGACGGGTTCAGGCCCTGTCTACCTCCCGGACGAAACCTTGCCCTTCGGCAAAGCTTCGTCCGGGTTCCTCTCTGCTAACGCAGAAAGTTCGACAGACGTCGCTTACAGTCAAAGACTGTATCACGACTCAGCTAGACTCTTCGGTCTTGCTCATCTCATAAATTATGGTCGTTGCTCTCATCTTCAGTCCATGGTACTCTCAGCATCCTTCTGTAGAACTACATTTCTGTTGCTTCAAGTCTCTGCTTTATGAGGAGATTGTTCAGCATTAACTGACGTAAAGGGGTACTGATATTGCGTAACAGTTAAGTACCCATTTCTTTGTTTCTATCGAGTTTTTTCTATTTCCTAATACCTTGTTTTACTTATTTTAAATGCCATGGCTTTTCATCACGTAGATTATTATGGCTCTCCAAATATTATTTATAAATGTACATGAAATGCAGCGGACATAGGCTTGGAAAGTTGAGTCATCGAGTCAAGTCCAATTTCAGCTGAGACGAATGAAACGCCAGACTAAACATCATATTTTATTTCACTGCAGACTTCGTAAATTACTGTCGGTTGGTGTGTAGCTTAGATGTGGCACAAGGCTGAATGTATGGGGCACCTAGTGAGGATCGAACTCACTTTTCAGCCGTAACTGATCTAGCGAGACAAGCTTGCTAACCATTACACCACGCCGAGGTGCCCTAATGATTTTCTAAGGGTAGCTTAGATGTGGCACACGGCTGAAATTATGGAGCACCCAGGGAGAAATGAACTCACTATTCAGTCGTAATTGTTTTAGCGAGACAAGCATGCTAACCATTACACCACCTAGAGGTGCCCTAATGATTTTCTGAGCGTAGCTTAGATGTGGCACAAGGCCGAAATTGTGGAGCATCTAGTGAGGATCGAACTCACTTTTCAGTCGTAACTGATCTAGCGAGATAAGCTTGCTAACCATTACACCACGCCGAGTTGACCCTGTCGGTCAGTGTGTATCTGTGAGGGTGTGGCACTTCCGAGCGTAAACTTCTATTTTCTTGTGCAATGCCTCCATATCCTTAATCTCTAGGGTGGCTGTTTATATATCTGTATGGCACGCGGTTATTTCCCATAGATGCCCATCTCGTGTTCATCAGTCAGAGTGAGGAGTGGATCTGTACTTGGTGGTCAGTCGTATCAGTCAATGCACCTGGCTTCTTGGACGTCACACTAAATGCAGAGTATATTCTTACATGATCTGAGTTGACTCACAGAATACACTCACCTGCTATGTATTCTTTCACAAAAATATCCTTGGGAAAGGCATGAATCCATCACTATTCACCGCTAAGCAACTATGAGTTAAATAGTATAGTAGACAAGGCTCTCAAGCCTTGGTTGGTAATCAGACTAGAAGAAGAACAAGTTTAAATTCAAAAGCATGGTAAAGGGAATGGTGGTGGGTCTATTTTACCATCATTTCTAATAATTCATGTTAATTCAAAGATAAAAAGGAAACAAATATGTTAGCCTACGTCCAGAAGGGAAACGCCATTAATAAATATCTATAGACTACATATTTTTTGTCACTTTAAACGTTACTTTTGGAGGATACTCATATTTGAATAGAGGCTCTGTTTATTTAGTAAACAGTATATTTATTTTCGTCTACCGGCCTGGATATTCGAGAAATCACACTATTTATATTATTCGAACTATTGTCCTCATCTTTGTCGCCATGTTTATCACAACGTTTCGGCCGTTGTACACACCGCCCTTCTTCTCCACCGCCTTAAACAGGTATTAAACTCACACCCTTTGGGTCCTGTCACTGGATCTAAATAAAGCCTTTATCCACTGTGCCATGTGTCCTTGAAGATATTTGTGTATGAATTTCTGGGTATTAAAAACCTAATGTCTTCAGTAAACAATTTTTTACCAGTGCTTATATTATAATTTTTGGTGTTATCATTGCACTTTTTTTTTCACCAGAGCTCATATTGCAATTTTTGTTGTTATTATCGCTTTTCTCTCGCACTCCTTATTACTGGTTCCCATATTGTATACATTTCTTTGCTTGGTCAGCTCAGGAGATTTTTTTGCCTAGCATATGTGCTGATTCCTTAAGTTTACGAATTTTCCATTGATGTTCTTTGTCTGTGATCTAAACTTGATCCCACAGAGGGTGGTGATCTCTTTTTTCTCTCCATTTGTGGTCAGCTACGCCTGATTTTTCCACTTCCCTTCATGTTACACCTTGCTGGTGTTCTTGAAGCCTTACCTTAAGGAGGCGGCCTGCCTCCCCTTTATATTTCTTTCCGCAGCTGCACGGGATAGAGCACACACAGTCTTTAGTCATGTTCTCCTCTATGTGGGGTCTTACTCGGGAGAGATATCTTCGAAGTGTCGTCCCGCTTTTGAAGGTTGTCCTAATGTTATATGGACCGCAGATCCTATGTATTTTCTCTGATGACCCCTTCACATAAGGCAGGCAGACTGTTTTCTGAGTGTTGTGGTTCTCCTCTTTTACCCGCCTATCCCAGTATTTGTAGCTGCTGCCATGTACCCAGGGTAGTTGTTACGTCGGTGGCAATAGTCTGAATAATGTAAATAGTGTACATAATACCTCATCTCAGAAATATAGACAGATATGGAAGAATCGGATAAATATGGCGACAAAGATGAGGACAATAGTCCGAATAATGTAAATAGTGTACATAATACCTCATCTCAGAAATATAGACACATACTGAAGGATAGGGTACATATGGTGACAAATAAATAATTATACTGTTTAATAAATAAACGGAGCGTCTTCTCAGATATGAGTATCCACTAAAAATACTGTTTAAACTGATAAAAATCTGTCGAATTAGTAAAAAAATCTTTACAAAATATATTACATGTTTAGAAAATTTTTCAACAGGAAATCGACAATCTATACGAGAAACCGACCAGATGTGTCGGAATCTGCGTAGATTTTGTTTCATCCATTTTCACTAATACCATTGGGAAAGTGTTGTGGCCTGTTTAGAGGTCAGAAAGAAAAGACACGGAAGACGAATGTAGGTTGAAAAAGTATATTGAAGATATATACAAAACAATAGTGTTAGTAATACGTAGATTAGCACTGCATCTATTACTTCACTTCACACTCTCTACCCTATCCGACTCTCGCAGTTTGTATTTATGAGTGGAGGAAGAGTTCATTCTACTGTAGGAGGGTTTGCCACAAAAGAAAGGTATGAAATATTTTTCTCACTCTCAGTCATCGGTTAAATACCAAGGTAAAATGGGTGCTCTAGCCGAGATTGTCTACAAATCTAGGAGTAGACCAACGTTGAATTCAAGTCTCAGCTATCTGAAGCCGTAGACAGATGTTTGAACATAAGATATACTGTCTGCAAAAAGAAAACGCGATAGATTTCTATTTCTTAGATAATCCTATTAGAAAGGAATTTCCAGAATAGCCTTGAAGTTCATCGATCAATCAGTTACATAACAATTCTGAAGAATAGGGTGCTTAGTAGAATTAAACCGGAAATAGGAGAAGTGCGCCATTTCATTAAATACACAGGTACACCGCAAAGAACATTTTCTGCCTGCCAATAGCATGGCTAATGCTAAACTCCAGAAGAGTAACACACTGTGCCTTCTTAGCCTTAGGTTTTCCACTGACATGAAGTGAAGCGAGTAATTGAATAAACTGCTACATCTATTGCAAGGAAGGTTGATTCACTATGTCGTGACAGAAAATTCTTTTTCGCC